CCCCCCACCCCATCCTGGGGAACCTTCTCGATGGCGCATACTCCTCTCCCCCACCCCCATCATGTCTCACCCCCTGCCCTACCCCCCACACCCACTTGTATCTGTGACAACCCCCCCCTCCTCAGGGGGGTTACCAGGCCACCTGGGACAGATGGCAGCAGTGCCAAGAGGCCAAGCTGCAGACCTGAGGGAGGTGATGGTCGAGGGTGATGCTGCAAAGGGACAAGTGTGTTCTGCCCACAAAAAGCAAGTGCCCCCTCCCAACTTCCCCCATCTCTGCCACCCCCATCTCCTGGTTGCCTCAGCCCTGCCTCCCCCCTGGTGCCTGGGGGAGCAGCCTGGCCCACAGCCCCTTGCGTGCTGCCCCCGGCCTGGGGGTCAGCAGCTCACTCACCCGGTGTGTGTGTGTGTCTGCTGCTGTTGCTGTGGGGCAGAGGCACCCCTTGTGGGATGGCTTTAAGCCACCAGAGCTGGTGCATTGGCAGGTGGCACTGTGGGTGCACATGGAGTTGAGCTTGGTGACAGACTCACTGCTGTGCAGGAGCAGGGAGAGCACATCCCCCCCCCCCCGTGCCAGCCAAGGACTTGCCTCTGTTGGGGAGAGGGATGGCAAAACCTGAAGCACTTGGACAAGATCCTCTGATGTGGAACTGGGGCTGAGAAGGGGGGGAACTGGCGTCAGCCTCATCTCTCCTCCCTGGCAGTGGCATGTGGGGTGTTGACAAGAGGTGCCCAACTGCACAGGCCTGTTACCACTGTTAGAGTGTTAGGGGATAGGCCTTGTCTCCTCTGGGAGAAGACAAAAACCACCTCTCACCTAAACAAGTGTTTCATGCTGTCATTTTAGTCTCTAGATTATTTTTACTGTTAACCAAAAAGCTGTAAATTAACTCCAGGACCGTGTATATTTTGGCACTGTTGTAGCTCAGGATGGGGTTCAGGTTGGAGCTGGCTCAGGGAGACTAACTCATCCTCCTCGCCCTGCGGTGGCGGTGGGGACACTGGTCAGGAGTGGAGAATTGCTGCTTTGTGGTGGTGGCTCTGGGTATGGAGTCTGTGACTTTCTACTGAAAGCGCTTGTCTGTGAGCACAAACTACTCATGAAATGACACTAGAGTTTTACTTTCCTTTATTCGGTGGGTTTGTAAATAAACTGCATCTTGGGAGAGCGCTGGGCTTTGCTTTTGTATTTTTTTTGTCAGGGCCAGGACTAGATTTCTCAATTTCTGCCATGTGATAATTATGGCACCATTTCTGCCCTGGCTCGGGCTAGCAGCAAGCTGAGGGCTCTGCTCAGCCTGCACTGGCACCGTGGGGGCTCCTCACCAGCCTTGCCTCAGAGCAGAACCCAGGGTGGGTGCAGGCAGCAGTGGCAGCCCAGCCTTGCTTCACTGCCACCAGCCCTCCCTGAGGCTCAGCTCTGCAGCAGAGACCCTGACAAGCAAGAAACACTCAAACTGAAAGGATGTGGGGAGAGGGGTGCAGAAAACAGGACTGGGGGTGGGAGACAAGTGTGGTCTGCACATTAACAAGCTGCTCCAGAAAAAAAGCAGGTGTAGTCTCTGCTGCAAAGTGGGACAGTGTCAGGGCACAGGCCCCAGAAGAACCATGTTCAGAGAAGCCCAAGCTCATGGAAGGGTGAAAGTTGCACTGTATTTACTGATGTGGAAATGAGTGCCTTCAAAGCAATTCCAGTTTGTTGTCTGGCTCAGGAAGGCTGCACTGTGACCTTATCACTGTAACAGCTAGGGGTCCAGACCAGCCTACAGGGCTGGGGGAGGCTGTAAAAGCTACCATGCT